ATCTTCACAGACATCAGACAGAGCTTTCTACTAAATTTGAATCCTAAGACTATAAGGTGTGGATCACGCAGGAATTCAATACTATTTATGTAAACAGCTACAATCCTGTGAACACCAAAATAAAGATGTTTTAGGACGATAGTTCAAACTCCCAGTAGATGTTAGTAACAGAATAAAACTATTAAGATTAATATCTTGCCAAAGCTGTTACATATTTCTGTCCTTGTTTGCCAAGTCTGCTCCAAGCAGTTCAGTGAATGTGATAAACAAACACCACAGAGCATTTGGAATGGTACCAAAGCCAAGAATCAAATGTGCAACACTCTGAGTGAGTAACGATAGAGGCGGTATGTCTTTGCCAAATCTTAAATATCACTACTGTGCTTCACAGCTAAAACCAAAGGCCTCCTGGTGAGACAGTGGAGCAGAAGTTCAGTGTAGAGACATAGAAACTAACAATCAGGATGTTCCTGTACAAGTGTTATTGGGGGATAAAACACAGGCCAATCCACAGATGGACAAACTGGACCCAATTACAATATTTACCGTTTAGAACTGGATCACTTCTGTTAAGTAGGCAAACATAAAAAAAAAAACTAAAATAAAGCTAAGATTCAAAATCATGATGCACCTAAATGGAAGTCACCTGTGTGTACAAGCATGGAGGCGAAAAAACACAAACTAAACTGTAATGCCAGTTCTAGAGCACATACAACAGACTACAGTAGAGAAGATGAGCTCAAAACTGGAGAAACGACAAAGATCTACAACACACTGTACAGTAAGTACAGTACAAGAGCTGGGAGAAATTTTGCTGGAAAATTTGTTTTCTTACTTCTCCCAAACTTCAATCAGTACAACTAAGAAAACCTGTAAGCTACTGGAGAATTGTCAAGGTGAAGCAAACCATTTTCATATCTTCTTGGGTTGCTCAAGAATCCAATTATTTCAGAAAGATGGAAACCTGCCTCGTTCTGTACCTGCAGGATTTCCCCGATAAAGTGAAAGGAGTCTCCGACATCTACTGAAAGTATTTTATAGCAGCAGGAAAAAAAGGACATCAGGCTAAGATGGCTGCAGGGGGATCCCTCATCTGTAGCAAAGTGGTTTCAAATAACCACTGACATCTTTGAAATGATCTGATGGAAGGTTGACCAGTGCTGGATTTTACCAGCAAAACAAAAAACGAGGGGTAAATGCATTCATCACATGTGCAAATGTTTATAAAAAATTTTTAAAAAATGGTAAAATTTAGGAGGCCCATGGACTGTACTTTTAATTTATTTTGGTATTTTTGTTGCTCTAAATAAAGAATTTCTCCAAACTTCAGACTGAGACGAGTTTAAACACTGAGCCTAAACCTGAAGGCCTCTTATTTTATGACCCAAAGAGCCATCAAAGAAGAAAGTACAGACACGGGGAGCATTCCTCTGTTTTGCTTCTACATGGTGTATTTCTCTTTTCTACCACATCTTATCTCTACCAATTAAAAAAATCTCCCCCAAACGATTCACATCAGTGCAGCCACAAGGTGGAGCTCTTGCACACGGCTAAACAAAAACGTCTCACTTTCTGCTCAGCTTTTAATTGGCCACAATAAAGACAAAGAAGTTTCCATGTGCGACACCAGCAACTTTACTCCGACCAATTAAACTAATCCAACAACCGCACAAGCAAAGGGGATGTTTGTGCAGCAGCAGCACAGCAAGTTCAGGCAGAACAAGCTGCTGAAGATGGTGGAAAACGTATAGAAAGTAAAGTTTTCTATCAGCGAGGGAAAAAGCTGGAAAGGTTCCCAAGCTGCCACATGAGCAACTCAGATGACAGAGCATGCAAAGATAATGAGACCAAAAAGGAGAAGAGAGGGAAAAAAGTAAAGCAGGAAGCAGATCTGGCTGCAGAGAGGCGGTCAGATGAATGAGAGGTGAAGGAAAGGAGGGTTGTAAATAAAAGCAGCAAAGGAGAACGTCAAACTATTAATGCGTCTGTATCCTTGCATTATTAATAGATCTATTCATAACTCTCAATCTCAGACTGTTACTCTGAGGCCCAAGTTTCATTTCTCCATGTTAAAAGAAAACAAACATGGCTTCCATAAAACAACGAGACACTGAAAACACAGCTGCAGTGTCTCACTGATAAGACTGAATGATTTTGGGGTTTTTTTCGTATGTGGTGATGGAGCTTCTTTAGGTCTTATTCAGTTCATCCAACTGGCTTCACAATAAAGGATTAAATACATCAAACTGATGTAAAGATGACATGGAAAGCCATTTCTTCAACAGAAAGACTAAACACCTGCTTATCCAGCAAATCGTGGCATAAAATCCTGCAGCTACAGATCGGAAGAAAAGAGAAAAGCTGGTTTGACTATTTATGAAAGTCTCCTGGATTTTCACCCCAACAGTCGCTGGAGTTTGCTCAAAGGGGTCCAAAACACAAAAGCCGCCCAGTGAGCATCAGGTGTGTGGACATGAACACCTTGCTGGTGGAAGAGATCAGAGCTTAGATCCGACTGAAAGGCCTCGATAACTCCGATAACCATCCCTGCTTTTTCTTCTGCTAACTTTGTGGCAGCAGGCTGAGCAGGTCATTCCAGACTTCTCTCCCCCACAGCAACATTTCCCAGCTCCTCCCAGTGGATTTTAAGGTGTTCCCTAACCAGAAGAGATAAGCAATCCATTCAGAAAGTTCTGGTTCTACCCCAGGAGCTCATCCTAGCTGCACAAAATGGTGCAAAGGAAGGTGCCCTGGAGGAACCACCTCAGCTGGCTACTTTTTGACGTAGACGACCTCTAGTCTACTCCAAGCTCCCACTCGATGTCCAAGCTTCCACCTCAAAGGCTGAGACACCCTAAAGAGAAACCTCAGTCTTGTGACAATGCCCAGTCGTACGCCCGTCAAGCATCCGTCACCTTGCGTAGTCTGGACCGGACCTGGTCCCAGACGGCCACTCGAAACCTTAACCTCAGTGTGAGGCAGCTGCTTCGCCCTTCATTCGTCTCTGGGTTTTATTTTTCAGTCTGTGTTTTTCATTATGTTGGCAATAAATTATCTATTTATATCTATATTATACTTTTCTTGTTTTAGGTCAGTTAGGATTACCAAAATTATTCATATTTGCTAAATGCCAGAATAATGAGAGAGATTTTTTTTTTACTAATTTCTTCAAAGTCAGAACTTTACATAAACTAAGATTACTTTGCTTTCAAGCTAGTTGTGAAAGCCCAGATGATGATGTCATGGCTTTGGAAGCTTTTGATTGGTTAATTGACAACATCTGAGTTAATTGGAGGCACACCTGTGGATGTATTTTAAGGCACACCTCAAACACACTGCTTCCTTTTGTGACAACATGGAAAATCTAAAGAAATCAGCCAAGATATCAGGAAGAGAATTGTGGACCTCCACAAGTCTGGTTCATCCTTGGGTACAATATCCAGATGCCCGAAGGTTCCACGTTCATCTGTTCAGACAATTATATCAAGTATAAATACCATGGGAATGTCCAGCCATCATACCGGTCAGGAAGGAGACGGGTTCTGTGTCCCAGAGATGAAGTGTTTTGGTGAGAAATGTGCGTATCAATCCCAGAACAAAAGCTAAAGACCTCGTGAAGATGCTGCTGAAGCTGGTCAGAGAGTCATTCACCACAGTGAAACCAGTCCTGTATCGACATGGGCTGAAAGGCTGCTCAGAGAGGAAGAAGACATTACTTCAAAAGAAACATAAAAAAGCAGATTAAAGTTTGCAAATGCACACAAGGACAAAGACCTTCATTTTTGGAGACATGTCCTGTGGTCTGATGAATTAAAACAGAACCGTTTGGTCATAATGACCATCGTTACATTTGGAGGGAAAAGGGGGACGCTTGAAGTCTGAGAACACCATCCCAACTGTGAAGCACGGGGGTGGCAGCATCATGTTGTGGGAGGGACTGTTGCACGTCACTAAATAGATGGCTTAATGAGGAAAGAACATTATGTGGAAATATTGAAGCAACATCTCAAGACATCAGCCAGGAAGCTAAAGCTTTAAATGGGTCTTCAGATGGACAATGACACTAAGCATAGCACCAGATTAGTTACAGAGAGGCTTCGGGACAACAAAGTCAGTGTTCTGGAGTGGCCACCACAAAGCCCTGATCTCAATCCTGGAGAAAACTTGTGGGCAGAGCTGAAGAGGTGTGTGGAGCAACAAACCTGACTCAGTTCCAGGAGGAATGGGCCAGAAGTCATCAAACTGTTGTGAGAAGATTGTGGAAGGAAACCCAAAATGTTTGACCCAAGTCATACAGTTTAAAGGCAACGTTACCAAATACTACAGACATGTATGGAAACTTCTGACTTTGAAGAAAGTAGTAAAAAATTATTATTATTATTCTGGCATTTAGCAAATAGAACTAATGTCGGTAATCCTAACTTATATAAAACAGGAAAAGTTTTAATATCAGAGAAAAAATAATGTTTTATGTCTTTTTATAGTGTTTCTAAACTTGTGGTTCCAACTGTAGGTGTGTGCACCTGTCCCAAGGTTCATCATGATAGCAGATGTGTGTTTAAAACAAATTACTTCATGTTATTTCTGGGGTTTTTGTCTATTTGCTGTCTAATATATTGGTAGAAACTACAGTTTTAAACATCTCAGCACATCAGGCTCCAATGATTTGCAGAAAACACACCAAACATGTTGTGAATTAAAACCTCCAGTGAGCTGATGGAGTCCACCACAGTGAGCTGACTGGGTAACAGCTTCCAGGTGCGGCTGCTTTAATTGGCAACTTTTCGCTTTTTGCTGTGATTTCGGAGCTTTTTTCCCCCAAACATCAGTCGGACAACAGGAGCAGAAAGCCGTCGGTCGGTCAGCGGGTCACGCTCACTGCGTGCTTCCAGAAGCTTCGCTCTCTCAGCGGCTAAAGGTAGAGCTCATCACCTGATGGCCGGTCGGCTGGTGGCTTTTTTTTTTTTTTTTTTTTGCGGATGCAGCAACTCACCGTGTTCTTCTTGTGCACCATTTTATCCAGCTTTTTGGCGATGCGCTCCACTTCCTGATCTTTGGCCATGTCGAGCGGATTTGTCACTTGTTGTGCTCCTGTGCTGCGGAGAAAACCTCCATTGATGTGGAAGAAGGGAAGAAAAAAAAACCCACTAAACTCTCCCAGACTCTGTCCCTTTGCTTCTCTTCAGGCTGTCTGTCCGTCCGTCTGTCTGTCTCCTTCTGCCCCAGCTGCTGCCTCCCTCTCGTTTGTTGTTGTGTGACACTGTGGGATGATGGGAGATGGAGTCTCTTCCTCTCTTTTGGCCAAAACTTAGAAAGGACACTGGAATAAAACTCTGCTGTCCGACTGAGAAAATTAGGTATTTATACGTTATTTTTAATAATCATATAGCACACTTTAAAATCAAGTGGCATCTCAAGGTGCAATAATAATTAAAAAATGAAAAAATGAAAATCTGAAGTCTGAAAATTAAAAATAAATGAAAAAATACATTTGAAATCTTTCTCTTTACCTCTATAAAGCAAGTTTCACCTGGTCAGGATTTTAAAATCACACAAGCAGGTGAATCAGATCTCCTTATGATAAAAACTTATTGTTTATAGACTCATCCAGCATTTTGTTTTAACAGTTTCACTTTTGTAAACACTGTCAGAATCCTATTTTCTATTTATTTCTAAACTCTGGACTCTGGACTACATCCATCCCATTAATATGAAAGAGTATGGAGCTAAAACAGAGAGTTGTCATTGAAAAAAAAAGATTTGTCTTTGAAAAAAATGTATGGAAGCCCGTTTCTGCCAGTGGAAAAAAAAAAGAAGTCATTATTATGAGATAAAGAAAAGTCATAATTATGACTCTTTTTTTTCACTGGCAGAAACAGGCTTCCATAAAAATGTAATTGAAAGCAGACATGAAGAAAAAAATCTGAAAATTGTTTGAATGACATAATTTTTGTTAATGACAATTTTTTTTTCAGTGACAACTAATATTGTCTCTGCTTTCGCTCCACATAGCAAAACAAAATGTTAGAAATATGTTTCAGTCTAGTGCAACCTCCCACGAACCTCTTGATAAGAAACAATGGTTGTGTCACTTACTAAGTAAAGAGTGGATTGTGTTGGATTGTTTCTAAGTAATAAAGTGCTCAGTGAGTTTGTGCATCGTGTGACATGTTTAATTTGCAATATGTGTTTCATTGAACAGGCTTTCATGTGCTTTAGATGCTTTTTATTCTGATGCTTTATTTCTCTGATGTTTAGTTTTATGCCTCAGCTCGTGAAGAAACATAAATTCAACCCATTTTAGAACTTGTCTGTCTCTAGACCTCTTAGTTCCTCTGACTTTCTTTATTTGTCATTTCAGATTGACACGGTACAGCGCACACATCACAGTGAGATTTCATTGCAGCAGGCTGAAAAAAGAACAGAGACAAAATAGGGAATATATATATGTAAAATAATAAATAGGTTTAAAAAAAAAAAAGAAAAGGTGTGAACGTAGAAAATATAAATGAAACAAAGTCTGTAAAGAGCAGCTTCTTAGAAATGTTCCACCATCAAGACATTTTTACGAAAAATATAAAGTGATGCATGTTTTCAAAAGCCTTTGGGGGCTCTTAATGGCCTTAATGTTTTATTTTTATTACAGTATTTTAGTTTTTATATTCATAAAATACAAATAGTTTTATTGTTTTGTACTATTTTCATTGTTGTTCAGATGGTACATTTTTTTAGTCTTGCTTTTTTTTTTACACATATTTTTCTTGCAGCCTGACTGATGACATTAAAAGGGCCTTGGTTAGCTCAGATTGCTTTAAACATGCAATACAATACAAAAAAAAAAACATTGATTTGAACTGATTTATCCACACAGATCTCATCTTGAACGTCCTATTTTCTTTGCGCACCACAAGTAAGATTTAAAATACCTCCCTGGGATGGAGTTAGCAGAAATGTAGAACATAGAGCTCCATCAGTGCAGCTTCAGAGAGAAAATATAAACTGTCATTTTAACTCATTTCCCTCGTTGTCATTCAGGCAGACGTCCTAAAGCTGCTGCTTGTAGTTACTCCGACCTTCCTCTAGATGTCAGTGTTGGGAAGTTAGTGCCACTGAGTGAAGAGTGTATTTTTAGGTCCAATGTAAGTCTCCAGTCAGTTTGATGATCTCTGTGTGATTATTATGTGTGTAAAGAGTCAAAACCTACCTACAAGTTCAAGTTTCTGCCCCAAGTCATGTGAAATAAGCACAAATGAAGCAAAACCACCAAATACTCCATTACTAGCAGAAGTCCTGCATCCAATTTAACAAAAAAATTAAAAATTACCTTGAGAAGAATTTACTTTAAAGTAAAAGTATACTCGCTCTGCACTTAAGGTGGAGCTGCTGTACTTACAATTACTTGTTCCAGTGGTTCTCAACCCACGGGTCAGGCCCCTCCAAAAGGTCACAAGAGAAATCTAAGGGGGGCAGAAGATGACGAATAGGGCAGGAAATAAAAAATACACACATTCAGATTGCATTTCTCAGTTTTTTTATTCTTTGACTTTTTAATTGATGCTTGCATTTTTGTTAAATTTGCTTTCTTTCGGCCTCAAACTTCTTTGCAATTATTTAACTAATGATTCACAATGTTAGCACCTTATCTTGACCTGTGCACATTCCTTAAGTCTTTATTCAACTCATTAAGTTCAGCAGCCCAACAGACATCTAAATAGAGCAGTAAAGAACTCTTTCAGTCATTGAACATATGAAGAAACTTGCAAATTTGCACACATCCCCATGTTCTGACAGTGTCTTCATGTGAACATGGCTTCTGGTTTTCTCAAGGCTGTAATGTAAAGACCACTTGTTTCCGACTGTGTTCATGCTCACTGTGGGTTCAAGTCACCCATTGCTAAGATGTGATATGGTTCGTCATGCAGATTATAAACTATATTTCTAACTCTTGTGGTTTTTATTTAATTTGTGTGCTTCTTTCTTTCTGAGCAGCTGAGCCTTTACGACCATGTTACACGTAGAACCTCGCTTCGTTTTAAGGGGTCACAACCAAATCTGAATAAACGACCAAACAGAGGGTATTCATTTATGTCAACCACGAGCAAAAAATAAATGGACATGCCCCGTATTTTTCATGTAATCTAGAACAGATTAGATTTTTTTTAAACAAACTTCCCCAGCGCTGCCTGCCAGCGACAGCTCACTGGTCCTCTCGCTGTCTCCCTCTAAATTTAAATCAGACTCTTCTCTCTGAATTTGAGATGAGTAAATTGTTCTTGGAGAAAGTTTTTCAGTTCTTTTTTTCGATCTCATGAATTCTGGCTGCTTGATGTGTGCAGCCAGAAACCTCCTCCAGCTGAGGATCTGCAGAGCAGAGCTGGCAGCGACTTCAACAGCTGCTGAGTCAGATCGCTGCCAGTGTGTGTGTTTACTACTGAGGACCTGGGCAGCTCGGAGGTATGCAGCCGACGAGATGCGGAGGAGAGAAACTCATCCAAGAGCTGATTGAAAGGAAACAAAAGCAGCTTCTTCTTCTTCTTCTTCTTCTTCCTCTTTTCCAGTTTCTCCTCTCATCATCCCTTCTGCTTTGTTTCCCCTCTTTGCTTCCTCCTCCTCCTCCTTCTTCTTCTTCACTCTTTGATGCTTCTTTCTTCAATCATTCCTCATTCTTCCCTTTTTTCATCACTATTCTTTCAGATTTTTTTCTTTTTCCTCTCCCTTCTTTCTTCCATTCTCCACTTTGGCGTCCATTATTGCCATCTCTCTCCCCTTCTTTATAGATTTTCCTTTTTTCTGCTTTCTTTCATAATACTCAATCTGATTCTTTTAACAAATCTTTTTTTCTCAGGTTTTTCTTAATCATTTCCTTCAATTTTCTTCTTTCTTTATCATATTTTCATTCATTCTTTCTCTCCTTTTCATTGCTATTTTTTTTGGTTTCTTTCTATTTTTCCTCTTCCCGTTGACGTTTGGTTTTCATTTCATCTCTTTTCTATCTTCCCTTCCCACCGCTCTCTTCCATGTATTCAACCTCTTTTACTTTTTCTCCTCCTGTTTCATCTCCTCTTTCCTCTGAGGGAATTATATTTCCCTTCTCTTTTCTACCACACTTCTCCTCCCTCCTTGTCTTTTGTCGGACTTTTCCATCCCCCTTTTCTTTCCTCTACCCCATCATCTGTTTTCTTCTCTTGTCTTCCTATCATCTACCTTCAAATCATGCCTTCTATCGGTCTTGTACTCTTATTTGTAGTCTCCTCTTTCTTCTCATTGCTTGTCACTCTCCTCTTTTTTTTATTTCAGCCACCTGGAAAAGACTGACTTTATGGAGCAATAGCAGCTTAAAAGAATCTGACTTTCACTGACTACAACCAGCTTTTTTCGTGTGGACATACTTCCACTGAGCTTTAATCACTGAGAGTTTAAAGGCTTCCAAAACTAGTGAACTGATAATTCCACTCTGAGCACCAGAAAGGCGGTCAGTGACTCATTATAATGGAACGAGTAACGCTTTGTCCTCAACATTTGGGATTTCATATGAATTTCCCTAAAAGAACTGATGAGGTACCTACGTGGTGATTTTAGTCATTTTAACTTCTAAGCAGAAGTAGTAAAGTTTTTTTTAATTGTCAAAACTGAGTCCTTTTAAAATCATAGATTATGCTGTTGACTGCTTATTGAAATGAGAAAACAGACACCTCACAATATAAAAGATTCCAGCTCAAAATCAGTCATAGGGTCAAAATGCTGAG